TTTTTTCCTTTTTTTGTTTGCGGAGTTTTTCATCCGCTAATATGATACGATGACGAGTGGTTGTTAAAAAATATATATAAAAAAAAATTGATGGTGGGTTAGATTGGAGGATCTGAGGAGTTGATGATCGAGCGGCCACAAGGCTTTATGCCCCGATCTTTTTCTTCTTCTTTTCTTTAGGGCCTCATTTTTTAATTTATTTTTATCTCCCTTTGGCGTGGTAACTACCCCTGAATCCCTGACGGTAGACGTTCGCATACTTAGACGAGGTTATTCTATGGGCCTCGCCACACCACTCTTGAAACGGGAAAATTTTTCAAGAGCTGTCAGACGTTCTCAAGAGTTGGGTTTTCAAGAGTTCCGGGCCCCTCGCCACACAGCACTCTCGAAAGAGTGATGGTGTTGAACAAACGATGGAAAACGACAGTCGTGCAGCTTTGTTTTTTCCGAATGGAGTCAGGATAATGGCCCGACAGCTCTCGAAAATCGAGAGTCCTTCGAGTGCCCTCGGGAGGACGCTGAAAAGCGCGGTGCTGCAGGCTGGGCGTTTAGGAGTTTGGAGAGCTACTCTCGAAACGAGGTTCTGACAACTCTCGAAAGAGTTTTCGGGCCACAACTCTCAAGTGGCTGTGTGGCGACGGCTCCAACTCTTGAAAACCCGGTTTCAAGAGTGGTGTGGCGAGGCCCTATCCCTGGGAAGCCTCACACGATGGAAAACGGGTCCACGTTTTCCAACGGGTCCAACGGGTCCAACGGGTCCAACGGGTCCACGTTTTCCAACGGGTCCAGCGTTCCTTACATAGGAATGATCAACAATTCCACAGGGAATGCAGCTGAGAGCATTACTCAGCCCTTTTTTTTTTTTTTTTTTTACTGTCCTCCATTGGTACTATCAGCTGACCTTCAACGAGTGGACCAAGATGGACCAGAGCTCCACCCCCACACCCCGCCCGGCATCAGATTTCCCCCCAGACCCCTTACCCCCTCATGCTCTATCCCTGGTCGTGAACCAATGGTATGCCAACTGAGCCAGTAGAAGAGTTAAAAATAACCAACACAGCAAGTGGCCCAGGTCATCTTTGCGTTTTGCCTCCTCGCTGTGTGTTTGTGCGTGTGTGTGTGTGTGAGAGAGAGAGAGAGAAGGGAAGCGGGATAGCGGGGCGGGATAGCGGGATAGCAAGAGAGAGAGAGAGAGAGAGAGAGAGAGAGAGACAAAGAGAGAGAGAGACAAAGAGAGAGAGAGAAAGAGAACCGGGATAGCCGGATAGGGGGAGTGGCACACCCCGGGGGGGGGGAGAGAGAGAGAGAGAGAGAGAGAGAGAGAGAGAGAGAGAGAGAGAGAGAGAGAGAGAGAGAGACTCTGAGATGGTACTGCCATGGATAGGATGAGCAAGGCACTAGCCAACAGGTAAGTCACCAACCCGGCGGCTGGCCTCACGTTACTCCATAGAGAGGATGAGCAAAATCGAATGAATCTTCCGTTAGAACATGGAAATGTACACAACTACATGTGTGTGTGTGTAAGTAGCCTGAGGCCAGCCGC